GAGATATACAGTAAAGAGAGATTCAAGGACAAAGAAAATTTCTAAATGGTTTACTGTGTGTTAAAAATATATGCAGGCAGCCGGGCGGTGGTGGCGCACGCCTTTAATTCCAGCACTCGGGAGGCAGAGGCAGGCGGATCTCTGTGAGTTCGAGACCAGCCTGGTCTACAAGAGCTAGTTCCAGGACAGGCTCCAAAACCACAGAGAAACCCTGTCTCGAAAAAACCAAAAAAAAAAAATATATGCAGGCTAAAAGTTGAAGTTCTTAAAGTAAAAAAAAAAAGGAAGAGGGCTGGAGAGATGGCTCAGCGGTTAAGAGCATTGCCTGCTCTTCCAAAGGTCCTGAGTTCAGTTCCCAGCAACCACATGGTGGCTGACAACCATCTGTAATGAGGTCTGGTGCCCTCTTCAGGTCTGCACACAGACAGAATATTGTATGCATAATAAATAAATAAATATTTAAAAAAAAGGAAGAGAGTTGTTGGGTGTGGTAGTACACACCTTGAATCCCAACACTTAGGAGGCAGAGGGAGATTGACCTCTGTGACTTCTAGGTGTGGTAGCACACGCCTTTAATCCCAATGCCTGGGAGGCAGAGACAGGTGGCTCTCTGAGAGTTCAAGGACAGCCTGGTCTACAGAGTTATTCCAGGTCAAAGATACAGAGAACCTGTCTCAAAAAGCAAAAAATAAAAATAAACAAAATAGAGGTTAAAATAAAGTGCACAAAGATGGAAAGTACACAGAGAATCTTGATACTGTATGCTATTATGCTCTCTTTGAATTGTTTGAATGCTGAGGAAAGAGCAACAGCTGCTAAAAGATATTTGTTTATAAATGCTGCTGATCTAATCCAACATAGATATTTTGAAAATGCCTTGACTTTGAAATTTGGATCTAAGGACATGATACTTTGGAAAGGAGTTTCTTATTTTGTTTTCACAGAGGATGAGAGTCTGTGGATTGCTTCTATTCCAATATGGTATGATGGACCATGCCCTCCTGAAGGGTTGCTTCTCTCAACTGCCAACTGAGATGAAACTAGCATATAGGTTATACCATGAAAGACCTAATTAACAGTGCCCCCATTCAGCAGGAAGCAGTTTGGAGAGAAAAAACTGTGCCCATGTTCCCAAATATGGTTTATAAATGTTCTTTTACATTTAAAGGAGGATATGATATAGGTATGAATAATTTGCATTAGTATAGATTCTGCTTTATTGATAGAGATTTAAGATCAATTTTGTTATATGTATATGTATTTCTGATCTTGATTAAGGTATTGTGATTGTGTAGTTCACTTAAAATGTAATGTATATAGTTTGTTAATGGATAATCAATAGTCAAGCTTGTAGTCATGTTAGTTAAGAATTTCTAGATGTACATAGATATATTTTAGATAGGCATTCTTTATATCTTTTAAAGATTATAGAGTATGGCATTTTAAATGTTTTAATAACTTAGGGCTTTTCATGACAATGAGACACTCTGCTCCTGGCAGTACCAATCTACTTCAAGAGGAGGATGGGCATCGAAGAGGATCCTTATGGAATCTGATAGCCATTTGGGCAAGAAACTGCTCTTGCCTGGACTGATGCATAAACTGGACACAAAGAACCCGCAGAGGACTGCTGAACTTGCCTAAAGGTGAGATGGTCTTTCGGGGTTTCTGATTCATGAAAGAGTCTGTGAGACATTCTGCAGGACACAACAGATAGTGACTGAACTGCCTTTGAAATTTCCTGCTTCATGGAAATGTCTGCTGGAAACTATGGGCCTGTAGGCCAAAGATGGATGCCCCCACGGTACAGAGAAACTTTGGGTGATTGTCCAGGCAGCGAGATGTCTCTGTCATTTCTAGAGTTTTGGATTTCTTGTTTGCTTGGGTAATATTATATCCTTCTGGAGTCTTTGATGGAGTTAAAGAATATATAGATAGTTATAGTTTTCCTTAGTTATGAAAAAAGATAAAATAGATGTAAATATTGTAACTTTTACTTGATAACTGTTTTGTTATATGTAATTTTGCTATGTTAAAGTTAAAGCCTTTTTTTTGTTTAAACAGAAAAAGGGGAAGTGATGTGGGAGTGTCATATATCAATCTGTTGATTTCATTGGTTAAGCAATAAAGAAACTGCTTGGCCCTGATAGGTTAAAACATAGGTGGGAGGAGTAAACAGAACGGAATGCTGGGAGGAAGAGGAAGTGAGGTAAGACGCCTCAGAGAGATGCCATGCTCCCCTCTCCCTGGCAGACACGATAGCTCTGCTCTCTGAGGCAGACGCTATCGATGAAGCTCCAACCCAGGATGGACGTAGGTTAAGATCTTCCCTGGTAAGCCACCTCGTGGGCTACACAGATTATTAGAGATGGGTTGATCGGGATATGAGAATTAGCCTGTAAGGGCTAGAGTTAATGGGCCAAGCAGTGTTTAAAAGAATACAGTTTGTGTGTTGTTATTTCGGGGCATAAGCTAGCCAGGCGGCTGGGGTGCTGGGGACGCAGCCCTGCCGCTCCAATTACAACATTCTAGAGCCAGTCATGGTGATGCATGCATGGTACCTCCTTTGATCCCAGCCCTCAGGAGGCAGAGGCAGGCAGATCTCTGAGTTCAATGCCAGCCTGGTCTACAAAGTGAGTTCTAGGACAGCCAGGGCTACACAGTGAATCGCTGTCTCCAAAACAGAACAAAAACAAAGAACCAATAAAAAAGCCCATTCTAAGGAGGTCATCAGTGCTGAAGCCTGCTGCCCTGCCATGGCTGTGTGCTCAGACTGCCATCTAAATGTTCACGTTTACAACATTTCATGTTACACCCTGGGTCGGTGCGGCTCGCTTCCGTTTACAGTGGCCAATGGCTAACAGTCATAACTGGTTTAAGTTTTTTTTTAAATATTTATGTATACAATATTCTGTCTGTGTCTATGCCTGCAGGCCACAAGAGGGCACCAGACCCAATTACAGATAGTTGTGAGCCACCATGTGGTTGCTGGGAATTGAACTCAGGATCTTTGGTAGAGCAGGTAAAGCTCTTAACCTCTGAGCCATCTCTCCAGCCCTGGTTTAAGTTTTGAAACAAGACAGTTGAATGCTCAGCCCTAAACAGGACATCTGTGTTGGCACCTCCAAAGCCTGGGAACACTGCGAAGACAGGCCAAAGAGAATGTGGCAGCCCGAGGAGGGGGAGTATCTGTGGAACACACTTTCTGAACGTGTGTGACTGCTGTACTGAGGAACCCAGCACAAGGTGGAGCTGATCACATTCACTCACAGGCGTGTGTGTGTGCATGTGTGTGTGTGTGTGTTTGCGGTTGCTAGGGATATCAAATCTTTTTCTGTTTTTAAAGATTTATCGTATAGTTTTAAATGTATGTCTCTGTGTCTGCATGTATGCAGATGACCACAGAGGCCAGAAGAAGGTGTTAGATCCCCTAGAACTGAGTTGTGATGTGGGTGCTGGGAACAAACTCCAGTCCTGCAAGAGCAACGAGGGCTCTCAACCCCGAGCCAATGCTCTTACCCTTTTAAATCTTTTTCTTTTTTTCCTCTTTGGGTACAGGGTCTTGCTATGTAAATATGGAGTTCCATATTTAGGTGGAACTCAGAGAATCACAGAGATCCACCTGTCTTTGCTAGGATTAAAGGTGAGCCCCATCATGTCTAACAGAATCAGTCTTAAGTGGTGTACCCTTGCTCCCACAAATAACCACCCCCATACTCTACCACGCATCTCTTAAACACAATAGGTCCGTGTCTCTGTCTCTGTGTCTTACACACACACAAGCATACACGCACGCACACAAACACACACGCACGCTTGTTCACACACCCAACCTCGTTGGGTGATTCAAAGCCACCTGTAATTCCAGCTCCTGAATATTTGATGCCCTCTTCTGACCTCCACAGATACCTGTGTGTGTGGGATACGTTAACACATCCGCATACATAGAAACAAAAATAAACCTTAAAAAGTTAGATTAAATCCTTTACAAATAAAAGGGCCAGCCTGATGGTTCACTGGGTAAAGGCACTTTCTGCCAAGCCTGGTAATGTGAGTTCAAACCACAGGACCCACATGGTGGGAGAGAAGCAGAGCTGTACTCTGTCCTCCACTGCATGCTTGCGCACGCTTATTCACTCAATAATAAGTTTTAGGAGTCAAGTTCAAGATCATCCTTCGGTTGCATAGTTGAGGCCATCTTGAATTACACACACGATATCAAATTCCATCTTTCAGTTAGGAAGAATACGGAAGAGAGTAATCAATCACTTGAGAGCCGCTAAATGGCAACTCATGGGTAATTAGCAACAAAAGCCGCAATCTAATCAATTAGGGGCATTCTCAACACAATAAATCCTAACACTCTAGAGGGCGCTAAGACGAATTAAAATGTGTACACCCACCCTCAGCAGTGTGCTTTTTTAAAAAATCGATCTAAAGAGACCAAGAAAAAAATAACAGGCATATGGAAGAGGCGCAAATGTGGACATGAAAAGTGGATATCGTCTCCCTGTGTTGTAGGCAGGAGTTCTGATCTGGGGGTTCCACAGTTCAAGTCCACGGAGATCTGGAGGCTCTCAGTGGTGACTTGGAGACTTGAGAGAGGGTGGTCGGGAAGGAGAAAGCGAAGAAGCTCGCACTCCGGAGACCCAGTTGCAGCGGTCCTCCTGCCTGCAGCCTGAGGCGCAAACCTGTGGACCCAGGACCCGGACCTGCCCACAGCCCAGCCACTTGCTCGGTCGCCTCGGATTCGGGGCTCAGGGGTCCCTCGCCAGGCTCCGCCCCTCGAGACCCCCACGATCTCCGCCGAGGCAGGCGGCTCCAACCGAGTCCCCGGGGTGCTAAGAAACGCGGGTGGGCGCGTGGGGCAGGGCGAGGGGCGGGGACGCGTGGGGCGGCGGGGGCGGGGCGCGGGCACCGATTGGCCAGCGCGGCGTTCCGAGGCCGTTTATGGCGGCTGGGCCGGGCCACCGCTCCAAAACAAAGGGCAGGCGGCCCGCGGGGCGGCGGCAGGAAGATGCCTCGCGCCGGGCTAGGGCGCCAACGGCCAGAACGCGTCCCGGGCCACACCGGGACCGCCTGAAAGCCGAGCCCGCGCCGACCGAGCCTGGGCCGGATGGGCGCTGCGGACGGGGCCGCGGACCGCCGAGCGGCCGTGAGTACGGACGGGCCCCCGGCGGGTGCTCTGCGGCGACCCGACGGTCGGCGGCTCCGGGAGGGCGGGGAAGCACCTGTTGGGCGCCGGCGGGCGGGGCGGGAGCGCGGAGGACGCGTTGACTTTTTGTTCTGTTTTTCCGGCGTGTTGGTATCTGGTTCATTACGTTTTGGAAGACAACGCAAAACCCCAGTCTTTTGATTTTTTTTTTTTTTTTAGGCCACCCTCCTATTGTTTTTACCCTACCTTTAAAAAAAAAAATGGGAAAGGAAATGAATACAGAAGATACCTCCAATAAAGAAATGTTAAATAAGGGGTGGCATTTTCAAGTTGCATGTACAACAATAACTAAGAGGAATCGTCCTCATTGTTTACCACTTGTGGCTCTAGGTTTATTAATGCAGATGGCCAATAGTAGCAACTAAATAAGGTATTTTCTCCTCAATACGTACGTATAAAAGCTCATCTTTGACGTCCAAATCAGGTGCTGAGCTCCAGAGGGGAAAGGCGGCAGAATTTTGTTTTGGATAGATAATATACGTTGAAAATACCATTTTCCATTCAAAGCTCTTTCTAATTCAGTTGCCTTCTTTTGAATATCCGAAATGTACTTACCTTAATCTGATGTCTTAATCTGATTGAGCGCACCTGCCCCTCGCAGGTGGCAAGGCGAGGCTCACCTCGTCTGAGGAGCCTTTCCAGGACCTTCTGAGCAGTCACCTGTGCTGTGTTCTAGTAAATGTGCTAACAAAGTTTGCTGAGTCCCTGCTTCCCCCTCCCCAGGAGCTGTTCTGTGACCACAAGCTGGTCCTGTGGGTGTACGTGCGTGGGTAGTGGGATATGAATAAATACGTTCATATATATGTATTTATGCATGTTTTACCTGCATGCATGTAAGTTCGCCATGTGTGTACCTGGTGCCAAAGAAGCCAGAAGAGGATATCAAATCCCCTAGAGCTTAAGTTCCAGTTGGTTGTGAGCCACCATGGGAATGCTGGGAATCCTGTCGGGGTTGTCCACAAGAGTACCGAGCCATCTCTCCAGCCATTGTCTGTGAGCTCTTAAAAGACTGGGAGGCGTGTGGGAGGATTGCTGCTACCAGGATCTCTAGGCCTTGCGTTCCTGGCCAGCACCCTGTGTGGTTACCATGTCTTCTTAGGGGTGAGAGCAAATTCCTGCCTTACCACAGCCGTGTAGTCCACCATATCAGTGGCCAATCTGAGTAATAGTCTGTATTGTTGTTTTGGTTCAGGGCCTCATGCATTCCAGGCAGCTGCTCTCCGTCACTTATTCTACCCACAGCTCCAGTTCTGTAAATAAACTTATTTTAGAATAACTTTAGAATGACATAAATATTACAGAAGAGCTGTGAATGTGGCTCAGTGGTTGAACATGTGCCGAGCACGTGTAAAACCCGCGGTTCCGTCCCTGCTGAACACGCCAATCAAACGTTTCCAGCTGCTGGGGCCCCGAGGTACTCAGCCTTTAATCCCAGCGCGTGGGAGGCAGAGGCAGGAGGATCTCTGAGTTCAAGGCCTGATCTACAGAAGGAATTCCAGAACAGCCAGGGCTACACAGAGAAACCCTGTCTTGAAAACAAAACAAAAGTTTCCAGCTCAGCTCTGGTGGTCCCACCAAACCCTCACCCAGTTCACGTCCGTTACTGTGGTTCATTTGGTCAAACCGAAAAACTGAGAAGGGTCTGTTCTTTAAATCTCAGGTCGTCTTTGCATGTTAAAGAACCAGAGCTGGTAAATGTTTGTCCACGCTGCTGCTGCTCTGACATCTGTCTCCAGTCATGAAGCAGGGGTGGAGGATGCCAGGCTGGGTGGTCTCGATGGAGGGCTGAAAAGGCACAGGGAGTTTAGACTATAAAGGAGTCGCTTGTTCACAGGCCAGTCTTATACCAGGCAAGTGGGACAGGATTTAGCAGAGGATTCGGGTACAGATGAGAGAAAATCCTGAGTGGGTGGAGAGCTAAGGATTCTGGGGAAGGCAGTATGAGATAGAATCAGACAGATCAGTTTTGTCCCCAGGGGATGATAACCTCCTTTTATAACTCAATGCCTGGGTCGTGTAGACCATCAGCAGGCATACATACGTGAAGTGAAAAATCCTTGAACGTTTGATTATGTTTTATTTAGCATGTGAGTAAATAAAGTCATTTAGCCAGGCCAGGCATGATGGTGCACGCCTTCCATCCCAGCACTCAGCGAGGCAAAGACAGGGATGTCTGTGAGTTCTAGGCCAGCAAGGCTACATAGCGAGATTCTGTCTTTAAAAACAAAAGTTTATGTGAAAACAAAATAAAAACAAAAGTTTAGCCAGGCCTGGTGGCAGGAAATGAAGAATTCAAGATATTCCTTGGCTACATACAGACATATGGAGTTTTAGGCCAGCCTGAGCTACGTGAAGCCCTGTGTAAAAACAACGAAAGAAAGGACTTGAGGAATGGCTTCATGTTAAGAGTGCATACTGCTCTTGTAGAGGACCCACGTTTGATTCCTAGCACCCACATGAGGCAGCTCACAGACAGCTGTAACTCCGGCTCCCACGGGTCTGATACCCCCGACTTTCCTGTCAGATGTGCGTGTATGGAACTAAAAGGCAAACTTTAAAATTCCCGGCTGTATTTCTGCTCACCAGCCACCTTCACAGCCAATGCGCTAGTTGAGGAAAGCAGGAAGCTTTCTGCTGGCTCGTGTCTTAGGCCCGAGCTGTGCAGAGCTACGTTACTGCAGCAGAAGGATGTGCTGTGGGATCTTAGACCAGATTGCACAACACCGACAGTAGGCATTGTGCCTGGCCGTGACGAGGGGTTGAGGGAAGAGGTGCTCGAACATTGGTGTGGAGGTGCCAGATCCCCTGAGGGTCCCGAGAGAGTAGGAGGTGGCATCCACAGGAGGCACAGGGCATTTTGTCTTGGGACCACTGTCCCCAGGTGCCTGAAGTATGGGAGATAGCGTCTCATCCTGTGATTCAAGTGGGGAAAGAAAGGACATGAGGAAACAAATAGCTACCACCAGAGGCCAGCCCTAGCGACACTGTGGCTCTTTGACTCCTTCGGGATCTTTCCAAGCCTGGGTGTAGGTACTGGGCACCTGAATACTCAATTTATATGCTCGGCATCAAAATATAAAATATCCAGGTGCAGGGCCAGTGAAGACACCTGTTGTCAACCCTAAGCACCTGAGTCTGGTCCCTGAGACTCACCTAGTGGATGGAGGGAACCACCTCAAAGTTGTCCTCTGACCACACCTGTGGTGCAAACACAAAGGTGCAGACTGACAAGGCCCTTGCTCACCACAGCCTCCAGCCCCGACTTGGCAGTGTCTGTTTACATGAGGGCATTAACAGACTCTCCAGCTTGAGGTGTATCCTAATTTTTCGTTATTACAAGGGAATATTGTGACTGCTTTTATCCAGTTGTTTTACAAATGTAAACTCCTTCGATCTTCGATCGACCACTCCAGCGCAGGGACATACACCTAGGAATGTTCTGGATGAAACTCCTCCCCCGGAGGAGGCCTCACTGTGTTTCCCATGCTGGCTTCACATTCTTGGGTTCAGCTGGTCTTCCTGTCTGAGTCTTCCAAGTAAAATTATAGACTAGCCCAAGCTCACCTGCTCATCAGTGGCGGGTGAGAGCCTGTTAAAGGAATGCTGTGGAGAAGCTGGGCACAGGTAAAGGTGGGGCAGGTGGTGGAACATGCCATTACTCCCAGCCCTTGGAAGGTGGAGGCAGGCAGAGCCCTGTGAGTTCTAGGTCTGTATAGCAAGTTCCAGGGCAGTCACAGCTCCATTGTGAGGCCTTGAGAGCGAGAGGAGGGGGAGTGTGGCCAGCTGGAGGGCACCGTGGCTCCACACTTCATACCGTCGGACATCAAGAGCCTCTGCGCTCCACTCTTCCCCCTTAGTCTGCGTCTTCCACGGTGCGCTAATTGCACCATATGGACATGGGCCCAATCCACAGACTCCTAAAATAATGGTATGTGCTTATTTTAGATGAGAAACTTCTGGAACCCCACATACTGGTTTGCTAAGGAGAAGAAAGGAGAAAAAAAAAAGAACAACAACCAGCAAAACAAAAAGCAGTGTCTGTTGTGGAGGCAGTGTCTGTCCGTCACACTCGGGCTCCAGTGCCCTTCCCGTGACTTACCTGGCCTGGTCCCGACTTACCTGGACAACAGCTCGCATTTGCTTTCTAGTTACTTCACAGTGGCTCCTAATTGCTCACTGGGTCTTGCAGTGTTTCCCACTGTAGCTTCTGATTGAAAGCCAGTTAGACTGACACACAGCCACCAGGTCAGGGATGGCTGCTGTCTGCCTGCTGCAGTCGAGGATCAGAGAGCTGCTGAGATGACCTGAAGTTTGTATGCACGGCTCCTTGAAGGGAGTCTAGAAGCTGCTCTGGGGACTGTGACCCAGACTGTTAGGTAGGGACTGATGGCGGCAACACAGAAATAAGGAAGGCAGCCAGGCACCTGCAGAAGCAGAACTGTTCCTTTAACCAGAACAGTGAGGGCTGCCATCTCTGTAGAAGTGGAGACCGCTTGGGGTTTTATAGGATGGGACAGGAACCTTGGGGATGGAAGAGTCCATCTGCATCAGTCCCCTGCAGTCTGGAAGCGGTAGACACCAGCGGGTTTGGTGTGGGGTCTCGTGACCAGAAGCTTCCACAGGTGCCATCAGTCAGGTCAGCTTCCCTGTGGAAGCTTCTCGGGTCACCTGAGGCTTGAGGGTCATTAACCTTTCATGACTGCTTCAAGTAAGGACATCTCGAGAGCAGGGCCACATGGTGAAGGCCTCTACCATAGTTTCTCTGCTTTCTGTTCTGATAAACACCACAACCAAAATAGTTTAGGAAGGAAAAGGGTGTCTTCATCTTACACTTCCAGGTGCTACTCCATAATCGTGGGAGGTTGAGCCAGGAACTACTGAAGATGTTCTTGCTGGCCAATGCTCAGCTAGCTTTTATCTATTTATTTCTATTTGTGTGT